TTGGAAAAGTCTTTTTAAAGACATGAAAATTAGTTATACCTAGTTGTACATTTCACAAATCATCTATGTAGAAAAGTAGAAAGTCATAGATTGTACATTACAGAATTAGAGTATTATTTGAAATGTGTACTTTCAGTCTCCTCTTCTCACCCTTCCTGACCTGAACTGAGAACCTCTACCTAAGGTGATTCTGGAGGATTCTAGGGTTGAACATCAGAGAGTACAGGGACATGGGTTTGAATATGGGGCCTACTCTGCTGGCTGTGGGACCTAGGGAAGTTTCTTAATATCTCTGATACTTAGATTTCTCATCTGGGAATGAGGGTAACAATAGAAACCTTTACAGGTCCCTTGTAAGGATAATATATATGAAGTACCTAATGTAGCTAGATTACACCTGTAATCCCAGCAATTTGGGGTGCTGAGGCAGAGGGATCACAATTTCAAGGCCAGTCTCAGCAATGTAGTAAGACTCTGTCTCAAAAAAAAAAAAAAGTATTATTTAGTGCAAAGCTACATATGCAGCAATGAATGATCACCTCCCCTTTTCTTGATGAGAGCATTCACTTATGAGCTCAGGATCTTTCTCACTGAAAGAAGGGAGAAGCACTTAAATGATCCCCTCAGCTACTCAAATCCAGTCAACTGCAACGGGGATGGAACAAACCACTCAGCAGCAGGTTCCCAGTCGAGGTCACCCTCTCCGTGTCCCCGCTCTGCCTCTGTTTCAGACCTTTCCCAATAGTGTGACTTTAGGGGTAAGTAGAGACAGCTTGGAGGCACCTTCCTTCCTCAAAAACTTAACTTGATTCATGGCTCCCAACTTGATTCAAGTCCTCCTCCTGCCAAGCACACACCTTCCTCTTTACAGCGGACACTCAGGCTTCTCCTCTTAACATGAATTTGAGTGAAAATAGCCTGTGGAGTCCACTCTGGTGCCCAGGTGGATTGAGATGGCAGCTGCAGCTCTGACTTTAATCTGAGCCTTCACCCAAGAGAGCAGGGCCGGGGCGTGGGGCATTAGCAGCCGGAGGTGAGCGCTTCCATTGAAAAGCCCTTCCTGAGCATGTCCTGTGTGAGGTACTTGATTCCGTGCCACCTCACCTGCCACCTGCAACCTTAGTGCAGGTGATACCCTGGTGGGAAAGCAGTCTTCCCTTTTTAATTCTTGTTTTCTTCTCAGCCATCCTGGGATCTAGAAGGGTAGGGATTAATAAAAACAAAACCAAAAGACCTGCTTTCCAGTAGCTTTCCCATGCCTGGCCAGAGTCCAGGCTTCTGAGAATTTCAATTTAATCTGTTGTGGGGACAAAGGATCATTATAAACTAATTAGCACTTTATTGCTGCTTCTGGTGACTTAATATGTTCGGCGCTTCACTAATGGAAAGAAATGTAAAAACCCTAAACAAGGAAACAAACAGATTTCCTACTAGATTTATTGATGCAGAATTTTAGGGTGAAAGGAAGATGACAGATCCCCTCGTGTTCCGATACTTCTAATTAGCACGTGTTCAGACCCAGACGCTGGGGTTGCAGCATTCAGAGCTTTTTCTCCAGCACCCCTTCTGCCACCCTCCCGGTGCTCGTCCCATATTCCCCTTCCTGCTCGCCGCCTTTGCTAGCGTGTTCCCCTTTTCCTCTCCCTGGCATGTGTTTTAAAATCCCCCATTCCCTTTTTATACTCAGCCTGGCTGTCTCCTCTTCTCCTGCTGCCTATTCAGATAAAAGCAGAGACTTGGATTCAAGTCTTAACTTCACCTCTTATTTACTGGATGACATCAGGCAAGTCTCGTAACTTCTCTGAGTCTCAATTCCTCCATCTGTTAAATGGGAGCATCATCAATGAGTTCAGACTGGCCTTGAGGGTAACGATTACCACCATTATGATTGCTCTGCCTTCTCCAAATTAGGCAGAAAGGTGGGGGGGTTATGAGAAGGTCATCAGGATCCTGTGTAGCTGTGTGGCAGTAGGAGCAGGGACAGTGACACTTGCCACTGCCCCCATCTCTATCTGCCTGGCTCTGCAGTTGGCTTCTCTCTGCAGAACTAGGTTTGGTTTCTCGTAGGAGTGTGGCCACTGACAGTTCCTCAGTTTTACAAATTGTAGCTCTCATCAGAGGGCGAGCGAGTCTCTCTCTCTCTTTCCCTGGTGGGAGAAATCCTGATACAGTCCTTGGCCCCGCTGGATCAGCTGACCACGGCCAGGAAGCAAGGCATGTGGTCAGCCCTGACCAGCAGAGCCCAGAGTGTTGGGCTGTCCAGGAGAGCCAGGAGCTCGTGTAGCCTCCCATCTGGGTTCCTTGGTAGTGATGGGCTCCTCTGGGTCCCTGCCCTGCTCCAGGACCACATGGCTGAAGGTGGGGGAACCCCGAGGCCTGAAACCTCCTCCACAGCCCAGTGTCAGAGCCAGGAATTGGGGTGAGGACCAGGCCCTGCAAGAAGAGATCTTGAGCCTACTTGGAGAAGGCACCAGGTGCCCAAGCCCTGGCACTGCCTACTGAGCTTGGGCAGAGCCCTGACAGCAAGACAGTTTTGTGGGTATCTCTTTGTAAGAGAGGGTAGGGGCATGGCGGTTCTGTTTCCATGGTAACAGTGATCCTAAGCACTTTGTATTGAGTCTTTCTTCTGGGCCAGGCCTGTGTGGAGTGCTTTTCACATGTCCCTCCTGCTGTCCTGTCCTGTGAGGTGGGCACTGTTGTTATCCTCACATAGAGGTGAAGAAGCTCACTGTGTGGGGTACATCAACAGCTCAAATGGAGTAAATGGAGTACGTGGGGCTGCGATCCTGCAAAGCCAGGCTTGCTTCCCTTATCCCCACTTCCAAACACACTCCACAGGAAGAGACCAAGGGCCTGGCAGAGAATCCTCTCTGAACACTCACTTTTCAGATCCTTCCAGCAACCTTCGTGCACCTTCCCACCTCACAGATGAGGAAATGGAGGCTGGGGTCAAGTTTCCTGCCCACAGTCAGTCCACAGCTTGCAAGCGTCCCTGTGGCTCCACATTCCGGATGTGGAGCCCCTTCCCCACAGTGTGCTGCATTGCAGCGTTTTAATGTCCCAGCGGAAGGGCCAATCGCCAGTTAGCAGAAGCCCAGTTTATGGACTGGAATATTTTAAAGATTTCAGCTTATTAGCCTTTTATATGAGCCGAAGTCAGTCTTATACCAAAGTAGGTTTTCTTACCACTTAAAGGACCTATTTTTGGAAATCTGACCCTGTGTTAGAGAGCAGAGGGTTATTCTTGTCTGACTGGCATGGGTCCCTGTGGTCTCCTGAGTTTTTGTGGAAGCAATTAGAGTTGGCGATCCACCTGCACGGTTTCCCAACCTTTTGGTGTCTAAAGTTACCTGTAAAGCTGCTCTGCTTGGGAGTATGTGGTTTCAGAATACAAACACCCACCTACCCTCCCTTAAGAAAGATGTGGTCCCCAAAGACTGCAAGCAAATTATCAAGCACCTGCCCTGTTATCAGCTAAAGAACACAACCCATAATTAAGGTGGGTGCCCTGTATCACTGAGTCCCACACTTGACATTGAATTTTCTGTCTCTGGCTTATTACAGAGGGACTTCTCTGACGGAGTTGGCAGAGACCTGCACTGGACTGGTGGCTCAGTGCCCTTCAGAGGGCCCTGCTCCAGGCAGAGCCCTGCCTGGGCCGTGTTGGAGCATGAGTGCCTCCTAATTGTGACTTTCTGTTGCTGTTCCAGTGCCCTGGAGGCTGCGGTTTCTCTTGGGGGTGAAGACTTGACCCCGTTCTATGGTCTGGTGTCTGGTGGCAGGGAAGGAAAGTTCTACAGGGTAATTGTCCTCAGAATAAATGCTTCCTGCTGCATCTAGTTAAGTCTGTAGAAGAGACACGCCTGGGCTTGGCCCTTGTTGTTTTTCTCCCAAACTCCTTTCCCTGCTAAGCTTAAAACATACTTTGTAGAGAATGTACTTGAACTCTTAACACCCTTGCCTAAGCCAGAATGCTGTGTTTTCATTTCATCTCCACACAGGAGCTGGAGGACTATTTTTACTACTCTCAGCTCCGCAGTCAAGGTATTGATACAATGGAGACCAGGAAGGTGTCGGAACACATTTGCCTGTCGGAGGTTCCTTATGTCATGAGAGCAATTGGCTTTTACCCATCCGAAGAGAAGGTAGGTAGGACAGAAACAAGAACGGGGTGGATGCGCTATTTATAACAACTACCTCTGGGAAGATAATTATAGGTCAGAGTAGAAGTTTAACATTTTCCTTACATAAATGGATCAGAAAGAAGGTTGTGGGCATTTCAGATGCACTCCCGAGTAACTGATTTACAATAAAGACACCATCTCAGCTACTCTAGAGGCCGCAGCAGGGGAACTGTGAGGCCAAGCTTTGCAACACGGGGAGACCCCCAACTTCAAAACCAAACAAATAGAAAGATGTGTGCCATTCCCCAAAGATGTGTTCCTTGTTGGGGAACCCGGGACTTACAACATGGGTTCTGGAACTGGATAGGCAGCACCCTGCTGCGCCCTGGCTGGACAAGGTCTGGCCTTCTCAGATTTGAGGGGACGCCTGGGGGGTGTTGGGCATGGAGGAAGAACTCGGCATTTCAATCACTTTTATTGTCACTGTAGAGTGCGTGTGTTAATGGGGCACCTCTGGGAGGTAGGGGCCCTTCTGGTCTGAGGAGGAGCCCAGTCAGTCATTTGTCACACGGCAGAGACAGGCAGAGACACCCCACTGCAAGAGCTCCCATCAGGGACAAGAAGCAGCCCAGGGGGGCATCCTCAAGTGAACTGTTTTTTTTTGGTATTGGGGATTGAACCCAGGGGCACTTCACTAATAAGCTAATCTCCTATTCTTTTTTTTTCTTTATTTTTGAGATAAGATCTCGTTAAGTTGCTGAGGCTGGACTCACACTTGCAATCCTCCTACCTTAGCCTGGCATGTACCCTGCACCCAGCTTACACATACATACATAGTTTTAAAAGGCTTTTTGAAATAATTTTTTAGTTTTAAAAAATTGGTACTAAATTGAATATATATTTCTATCTTATTTTTTACTTAATATTATATCATAAGCACTTTTCATTTACCATAAAATCTGTGAAAACATGCTCTCTAAAGGATATATTTTAATTTTATAACTTTTTCTGATTTAAAAAAATAGCACTGTAAAGAGGAAAATAGAAACTAGAGATGATCACCGTTATTATTTGGTGGATATATATGTATGTATATACACACTATATAAAGAAAGATATGTTTATATTTTTAAACAAAGAATTGGCATTCAATGGTGTAAATATGTATGTGTGTGTGTATATATCGGCATTCAATGACGTGCGTATGTATGTGTGTACATGAATCGGCATTCTCAGTAACGAATGGTTGGTGAGGTTGATGATGAAAATTCTTTGATGGCCTGCCTTTAGAGGCTTGTACCCAAGTGAACAATCCCCCAGCTGGTAGACACAGAGGTGGTCTGAGTATTTGGCCAGCAGACACAGCTGTGATGAGCGTCTCTGAGCAGGGGTTTTGCTTACTTCTCTAGTTATTTTCTTGGGCCATTCTGAGAAGCAGAATGACTGAGTCAGAGAACATGAACTTGTTGGCCCCCATGTTGCCTGGCTGCTGTCCAACACTGTGGCCTGTTACCTGCCTGCCATGAGGCACATACAATCCCTGAAGCCCAGCGGAGTCTTGATGTTCATATTAGGTGACAGAGCTCCAGGGGCCTACCCAGAATCATGTATTGTGTGTGCTTGAAGGTGGCTTTTATTTTCAAGTAGCATCTAGAGAGAGAAATGAGTCATTGGAGCCCACAGCCCATGGCTGAGTCCTAAATGAGGACCTTGAACACCAGGTGGTCTCTAAGCGCCACAGAGGGGGTCTCTGATGTGCATTTTGTAAACACAAGACTGGTACCACACTGTTACCAAGAAGGGGTGTGTGGCCTACATAGAAGTTTTCTTTAAGCTGGTGTTGTGCCTATAGTCCCTGGTACATGGGAGGCTGAGGCCAGAGGGACACTAGAGCCCAGGAATTCCAGGCTATTCTGGGCAACATAGCAAGACCTCATCTTAAAAACAACAAACAAACAAATAACAACAACTACAACAAAATAGTATTCTTAGAGCTATATTTTCCAAACCTAACCTTCCAATGCTGGTTCCCAGACTGGTCAGCCACATCAGAATTATCTGGAGAATGTCCTCAAATTTCCAATTCCTGGTCACATCCCTGATGGAACTAATCCGTCTCCAAGTACAGGGCCTGGCACTCTGCATTTTCACCTCCCTGGATTCAATCCCCAGCAACATGTGGCGGGGGCAGGGGGGGGAATTATATAGGATAAAAAAAAATAGGTCCACTATTCAGACCTTTAAAAGGTCCCTGGGCTCAGGAATTTATAAGTGATGAACACTAGAGCATTCCCCAAGCTCACTCCATTATGGAAACTTCATTTCCTGAGGAAAGCCCAGCTCACACCTTACTGCCCCCACTCCACTGCATTTCACCTTCGTGGTTGTATCTGTGGTTCTTTTTTTTAGCTAAACGTGTATCTTAAACTGATACCCATCTTCTCTAGGTGATTGCTTGGCACAATGCCTGGTGCTTCAAGATTGAGGAAAGAAAAGGAGCCGATCTTGGTGGGGGAAGTGCAGGGGACTCAGAATTAGTTGACCTGATGGCCATTCCTAGCCGCTGGAACTGCAAGTCATTTCAAAGATAGTCTGAGTTCCTGGATCCTTGACTCTAAGATGAGGCTGGAAAAGCCTGCAACCTCAGTGTTGCCATGAGACTAAAGAACAAAGGCCAGGCAGCACCCAGCACAGAGTAGGCACTTACTCGGTGGGATGCTTCTGCCGGGCACAGTGGTACAGGCCTATAATCCCAGCAACTCAGGAGGCTGAGGCAGGAGGATCAAAAATTCCAGGCCAACCTTAGCAACTTAGCATGACCCTGTCTCAAAATAAAAAATTTAAAAAGGGCTAGGGTCTAGCTCAGTGGTAGAGCACCACTGGGTTTAATCCCTGGTACCCCCACACCAATACTTCTTCATCCTGCATTTCTCATCAAAATGGCATGTTCTTTTTAAGAGGTTGATGGGATGGTGATTTTTTTCTCATTTTTTACTTTTTATGGTAGAAAATTCCAAAAATACACAATTGTAGACATTTATCCTATCCTTGGCAAAAAAAAATAATAATAATAATGCATAAAAACCTACCAAAATCTTGCTGATGAATAATAGGTATATAGAAAAATAATTTTTTAAAGATGGACACAATATCTTTATTTATTTTTACTTATTTTTATGTGGTGCTGAGGCTCAAACCCAGTGCCTCGCACGTGTGAGGCAAGGGCTCTACCGCTGAGCTATAATCCCAGCTCCTACAAAAATAATTTTTAGTCTATAGCAAATGTTTATAAAGTGACATTGATAATTATTTACAAACTAAAAACTAAAAAAAAAAATGGAATAAAACAGCAGTGTGAGGTCTCCACTGGCGCCTGCATCCGCCCATCCCCAACCCAAATGGGGAGTTTCAGGGCTGACGTCAGCATCTTCATAAATCCCTTGGACTGGGGTTTTAAATCCATTTTAAAGAATATATTTACTCTTTGGAGACACTTTCTGAAGGCCCTGGGATCCAGATGTGCCCCATACCAGTGTGCAGGCTTTGTGAGCTGATGAGTTACTTTATATCTGAAGCTGCACAGGGAGAAGTTTCTGATCTTTTGTTTTTCATGTCAGATTTATAGTGATTAAAAAAAAATCTTTTCAAGGCTTTGAAACTTCTCAACTCTGGCTTTTCTGTGGTTAATGGAACACATCCATCCTATTAAGATGCAATGGTCCCCCGTACCCAAGAAGCTGCACAAAGAAGTTGGCCTAGCTAATAGAGTGTTTTAACACTTGGGCACATTAAAGGCTCAAGCACAGAGATTCATACCAGCCCCGCTAAAACTATATCGTATTTATATTTTTCTTACATCATAGTAACTGCCTCAGGGATTTGAAGCTAGTCAGCGTGGTAAATTGAAGCCAAATAATACAAGAATATAACCCTCCCCAAAGAATTCCTAGCCCTTCCCTTGTTTTGCAGGAAGCTACTCACACAATACAGCTAAAGCAGGCAGAGGGGGCAGTTCTTATAAACCATGTTTTTAAATGAACGGTTAGTAAAGTGTACAATGTTATCGAAGGAGCCAGGACCTAGGTGTCCAGTTTATATAGCTTATGATGTCGAGAATGTTTCATCTCCCATCTTTATAAATGCATCAGGTCTTCCAGGACATTGGAGCATCGTGTTGGAGGGGCCCCTGTGCAAGGTTCCTTGGCTGTCACTTCCAGCCTCTCTTCTGTTTAACCTGTGCAGCGTTGTATAATCCTGACCAGTTTTTGTAGTGAATTAACACCGTGCAACCACTTAGTTCCATAAATTTAAGGTGAATCCCAGCAGACACATGTGTGCTTGCAAAGTGCCCCCAAAGTGAACACTACGCAAGTGTTACCTGAGTGAGTAAATGAGTGAATGGTGCCCACGGGTCACATTTGACTGCAAGGACAGTGAGGAAGGCAGAATCCCTGACTTTATGATTTGACCTCTGAGTGATCATCAGGTACCCCTAATGTGTCCGCTGTGTTCAGGAGCGGTGACATTGTTTAGGAGTGTCCGGAGAGGAAATAAAAGACTACTTGTCTTCTTAAATGTGTTTATTTTGGACTCAACAAGTTTACTTTTTTTGTGTCTGTGTGGTACTGGGGAACTTTGCTACTGAACGACATACCCAGTCCTTTTTAATTTTTTTAAATTTTGAGACAGGGTCTTGCTAAATTGATGACAACCTCAGTAACTTGTTGAGGTTGGCCTCAAACTTTCAATCCTTCTTCTGCCTCAGCCCCCTGAGTGCTGGAGTTATAGCTGTATGCCATCTTCCTTACCCAACAAATCTACTTTTAAGGGTATATCCTACAGGAAAAGTCTCACAGTGTACAATAATACACATAAGGAAGGGACAATTATTATAGGATAGTTTCTAGCAGCAAAAATTAAAACAACCCTAATGTCCATTAACAGGAGATGAGATGAATAAAATAGGGCACCCCTACATTTAGTAACCATTAAAAATTGAGATTGAGCTGGCATATCTGTAG